TCTTGAAGAGTATATGTTGCTGAGGTGAACCTTTCAAGAGTTTATGAAAAATTTTTTGAAGTACAAGGGTTGATTATTCTGCGGATTTTTTTTACAGTGTAGGTGAATCTTGAAGATTGAGAATGAATAAGTCTATTATCAGATACGCGGAAAAATTTTCTTTAAAACATGAATCAGTTTCTAGATCGAAGTTCGACTTGGGCTCTTGCTGAACTGTGATGAAACAAAGTCATCTAAAAGATTACAATTCTCAACCGAAAAACTAAGTTCTGAGTCGAATAGTTATGGAGGGTTTTCCATAAAAGATGTTTTCGTGCATAAAAATACCCATAACTCTACGAATCCTAAACTTATTTGATCAAATGGCTATTGTATCAAGTGGAAAAACATCGTTTCAACGCATCTTATCAACCGGAATGCAAATCCGGCATTGATCGAAAGACTAATTCAAGTTTTAAAGGAAACGTTTTCTCTTATCCAAGATTGGGCGTAATCTCTGTCTGAACACTGCTATACACATATATTTGAGTATTTTTAACAAAATCATTTGGTTAAGATGGATGATAATCTTGCTCGAATTCGAATGAAACTCTTCATAATTTAGTATGTATGCAGTGAATGCTAACCTGCATGAGTTCGATTATCACTCAGAAATAGATAAAGATCACCAGTAGTTGCAGTTCCTATTCCTTGTATTGTTGTATTGTACAGAATTTGTTGCCATGGTTTTCCACTATAATTTGTCGGTATTGATGGTATCATGCGACGCGTATTACAAGCATTCCCCATACTATTGTACCAAACTTTTTCGTAATCGTTTACAGTTGCGTTGGTACATTCAATCGAAAACAAGATGAGGAAAACGATGAGAATTTTGAATGAAACCATTCGCTCTCTCATTGTGTTGATTGAAAAGACTGAGAATAAAATGTGTAATCGTGATGTTTCTTTTTATCTTACCGCCACCTTGCTTGGTAAGCGCAACTTTTGTCTTATCATGACCTTGTCGGAGTTTTTTTTGCACAATCCTTATCATACACTGATGATATTCGTTTGTCATTGAAGGTCTGTAAAAAAAAGGTAAAATAAACAAGAACAATGCGGGATCTTAAGTTATGCTCTAAAACAATTGATACAAGGATCTTCTAAATTTCATTTTTGGAACTCTATCTCAAAAAGTAGAATAGGATATAGAAAAGAAAGGCAATCTTCTATAATTCATTTCTACGACTTAGATCAACAATAGACGAGAGCATTTCTAGCGGAATGAACGAGATGAGTATTAAAATCCCGATGTGACTAAAACAATGTTTAGTCCATTCCGAAACTTTTGGTAGATGATTTGATTGTTTGGCGCTGTGCAATAAACTGATGGAAAAACAAGAGCATTGGTGTATTTTGAAGCAAAGGGAAACACCAATCACAAATATTCATTATTATAAAACACATACCAACGTCTCTTCTATAGCTAGAATGAAATACGAAACGAATCGAGAATTCTCTTAATCGAATTTTGTCCGTCTCTAAACTTGAAACTGAACATAATCAGATAGCGACGCAAATTATTCCATCAGTCAAATCACTAAAAACATTAGACAGCAATTAGAGATGTGTCACGTGAGGCTCATACGGGTTCATGGGAATGAAATAAAACGATAAGAGAACTTTCGATAAAAGACCTGGTCATATATGTTTGTTTTTCATTTTAGATATTTAATATTATTATTACATTTTCATTTACTATCTAGTCGTATTCATTATCATGAAATATATTATACATACAGGATGCCGAAATTTACTTATTCAACGAACAAAAATTATAATCAACATTCATCATCACGTTATTCGAATGAATCATCGTATGTTTCATCGTTGGAAATATAAGATCAATTAACTGATAGCTATCAACCCAAGAAATTTTTGGAAAATAACAAATATAAAAAAACTTTATCATGAAGATAAATGTGATTTATTTGAAATATTATCTTCTAATTATAGATATTATTTTATTCATCGTGAAACTTCAATTGATATTCTTAATGAATTAATTAATTATGCTATAGTAACAACACATTATACATTAGATACAGAAGATCAATTACAATCTCGACGTAAACTATCAAAAGGTACACGGATCCAAATCCAATTTGTATGTGAAAATCATCCGTCGATCATTATACTCATTGAAACATTATATTTACCTGATGAAAGTTCACCCATATTTGAGAAAATTAAAAAACTTTGTCGAACCATTTTCTCCAACAAACATCGTATATTTGCATGGGGCGATGTTGAACAACAATTATCAAAATTTTACCAATATAATTTATTTAATGAAGATGATATTTAACAAATTAAACCAAAACACATACAAGACAAGTTTAAAGAATGGTATCATGAAAATCATTCATCATCACCCTATGTACGGATCAAAGCCAATGAACTATATTCATTAGAAATGGCTATTTATTTAACATTTAATCAATGGATCGACAAAAGAATGATCCTTGCTAATTGGGGATGTGGAATTGATTTAACATTACATACAATTTCAATTCCGAGACAATTTATTCATATAAAAAATAAAATTATTGAAGATCATGTGGAAATTTATGCATCACCTAAGATTTTAACATTAAATGATGATAATACGCATGGTGAACCAATGGGAAATATATTAACAGGAGTCCATGGGCAAGATGAACCCTATGAAATGGTAAGTGATGATGATTTAGATTATTTTTCACTTCCAGAAATAAAGTACATTTACCTCATAAACTACGTCATTCAAATGAACATGAAACATATCAAGAACAATTATTCGATTATAATGATGATGAAGGGATTCATGCTCGAGATGAACCCTCAAATGAAACTGAAATTATCTTCGACGATGACATAAAACAAAATACAACAGTAAATCAACGTCAGCAAAATTAACAGCATCAATATTACAAATTATTAACAAGAAATCATAGAAAAAACCAAGCAAATGGATATCAGTATGAAGTAATTCGACCCGTTTATTATAAATTTAGCATTAGAAATATGTAAAAAAAACCTTAATATTTATGAATATTTCATATTTGAATATCAACGTCGTTGGAAGGATATTATTTTTGAGCGTCAAAAACGAACAAATACGAAAAGAAGCCGACGAAATGTTACATAGTGGCTTATTCACCAAGCAACATTACTATCGTATTCGAAAAAAACTACGCCTTGATGAACAAACAAATAAATAAAAAGAATGATTTTTGTAGGATAATATTTTTTTTCTGCTAAAACATCTATTAGTTTTTTCTTTCTCTTTCGTTCTATGTCTTTGTTATTTGTTGTCATGCTTAGTTTATATATACTTCATTGTTATTGTTGTTAATCTTTTCTCTCTTCTTTATAGATATGTGTGCGGACACACCTTTCAACAGGGGGTTGGCTGTTACGGGCTATACCCTCACATACACAATCATCTTTTTCTTTTCCTTGGTTTCTTTCTTTTTCTTTCATTTCGTCGTCCACCGCTATATACATATATACATGTTTTCCTGGACAGAAAATATATATAAATATATGCGTGTGCGTAGTTTTAGTCAGTTGAGGCGAGGTACGTTCCCCCTTTCAGTTCTTTTCTCTCTATATACGTTTTCTTGTTGATTTTTGAACATCAAATAAAGATTTTGAAGGTTACGTATCATATATACATATACACATAAATATATATATATATATATATAAGAATAATATACCCTAATACCTGTTTTGTTACATTAAAGAGATAAAAACTTATTTTTCTCGAGCTATATAGTGATAATATTGAAATTTAACTTTTCTGCCATGTAAGAAATTAAATGGTAGAAAAGTTAAATTAGGTTTCGAAGATCTTTTTTTTCCAGTATGTAACTGAGTGTCTCCTCTTTCAAATAAATCCTAAAAAAGAACCATTTTAGTTGGCAAAACTAGTATTAATTCAATATTTTTATATTGAGAGAGGAGTGGGATGCTACAATTATGAAACAGCAGAAATTCGAAAGTTTTTGAATTTGTTCATTAACACTAATTGATCAAATTCAATCAATATCGTAGATGATAGACTGCTGCTGTGTATCCATAGATATGACATTAGATCGAGAATGAAATCTTTGTTGTTTGCAAAATTTGTTGAGGAAGCTGTAATTTTCGGACTCCGTGTATGTATTTTTGTACAATTCGTATTATTCTTGTTTTTGTTCAATTAATGAAAAACGCTTTCCTGGCTCAAATGAACAAAACGCATTATTTTCTTCATTTTTGTCGCATATAATCTTTTGAGTTTTATTTATATTATCTCTCGTTTTGTTTTTATCTTCATAGATTGCCATAGTCGATGCTTTTTATCAACCATTATTATCCATGACATTAAAAAACATCAACATAAAATACTTTAAATAATATTGAAACAGAGTTAGAGTAATTCATATAACGATTTATTAAATATAACTTGTATTTGTATGCTTTTAGGGTTTTTCATTCCTTTTGAATGTGATTTTAAAAAAAAAATTCTTGTTTTCTTTTTGCTTTGTTTGCTCACTATGTCAATGTTCTATCAAACTAATGAAACAAAAATAGTATATATCTTAGTTTTAATGTTTAAAAAATATTGACTCACGTATCGATGATTAATAGAACAATTTATTGAATGATGATAGAAAAATATTCTTATGGATTGCACATATTTTGGCCATTTGTCTTATGAAAACAATACAATGTAGAAAGACAAAAATAAAACCTGAATGATATTAGAGTGGATCATTAATCTTTTTTTTTTATATTCTTTCTTTGACAAATAAATAACGTGTTAGGGTTGATTACTATTTTATTATATAACTCGAGCAAAACTAGAATTTGTTTATTATTTGATGTTAAAATCAAAATTTATATATTTCAATTTGATATATTATAAATTATGTTCTGTCATAATTATCATTAGGAATAAAAACAATTCATTCTCTTAGAAAATAATAGTTATTATGCAATGAGATGTATATCATTCGTCTTAATAATCTAAGCCAATGAAGGTATAATCAGTTGAAAAAAGAGACTTGAATATTTTGGAATGTCTCAACTAATAATTCTAATCATTGAAAGCAAGTTTAGTCCATCAAATAAAGTTTTCTATAATCAATAATAAGACAAAATAATCATATTTTTATTTTTTTAATTTGATACTTTTTTTTATAATCTTAAATATTGGATCGTCATTGAATATTTAACTAACTTTTGCTTATCGTTTTTTGCTCATTTTTATATGAAAAAAAAAGTTTGACTTTTTAATTTTATCGTGGCATGAATGAATAAAATCTTTAGTTTATTTTTGCTTGTTGCTTATTCATATAGAAAACAATACGATTGGCTTCATTTCTATGTCATTTTATAACGGACAAGGAACTAATAAATATTACTATTACATACAAGGTGTTATTCATTAAGGAAGTTCAATGAAAGAGAGTAGAGAAGAAGTTAAACATTTCTGGACATCCAGACACTTACTATGAATATTTTCCTGTGTTTTTTTCATACAATTTTTCGCAAAATTTTGAAGAGCAATCTTAGATAGAAAATGAACTGAACCAATCAGTTGAATATGAATATCATGTTAAAATAATTGAAGATTATGCTACATAGGCAAGCTGGTGATTTTCTGGAGTAGTAATATGAACATTGTTAAATTTTCGAGTGTCATTGATATTGAACTTCAGTTTTTATTTTTACAATTTTCTGTTCATTAAACTATAATGCATTTACAAAAACAAAAACTGTGCAATAGGTTAAATTTTTTTGTTTATCAAATGTGTGTTTTGTCTTTGGGTGTGAGGGACACTCGATGAAATTTGATAGAGAAAGAGAAGTACAGTGTGCATTTTTTGCATGGCGAGTGGACATGTAACTTTCTTGCTTTTGTGTTATATATCATTCGACGTAGTTTGATACGCTGATTCCATATATACTGTTGTTAATCGGTTGAGTATTTTTCCAAAGCCAGAAAAACTGAAAACTCTAGGTTTGCTGTAAACCCACCATGCAGTCCAAGAATGTTTCCGCTAATAGAGATTAGAGACAGTAGATAGACAAACATTCTAGCAAAGTTTGGAGGTTAGATGTGGATGGATTTCTCATTTTAAGAGATTAGCTGTTCGGACGATACTCTAGAAACAAGTATTATCTTTCTTCTCAGAAGTTAAATGTGCAAATTAAAAAATGTTTTACTATTGTATAGACCTCGGCTTGGAAATTCAGAAAATATAGTTGTTAGTTTCTTTGTGGGTTGTAACAAAGTTATTTATATCATTAGACAGACTATATTTCGATGTATATTTCCCTATATTTAAATCTTGAAAAAGTGCGATTTTCACTTTTACCCAAATGTCCGTTTAGATTCACATTGTGAGGAGGGCAGATCAAAGTATGCGATTGGTACCTGGACGTCCGTAATGGATGACCCTTATCTGCAGGAGGTATTTAATATTAGCGAAAAATCTCTCCCTTACAGATTTCATCTAATTGAAAATAGTAGGATAACATGATGTTTTTTAAAGAAGAATTATTTATATAAAAAAAATACTATGTTACCCACACAAACATTAGACACGCATAAAAATAGGATATTATCGATGTATATTTGCACTGGGAGTGAATATTTGCGTCAATGGTAACTTATTATATGATGAATATATGATATTCAAATAAAAAACATTGTGTGTGTGTGTGTATATTTAGTCACATTTGTTCTGTTTCTTTTTATGTATGGATAATTAAACAAAAGAGAGTGGTCTATATAATAATACGTGTAATTATCGAATGCTTTACGCAGTTTTATTTTATAACTTCTCATGAAACGGCCCAAATTGCCTAGCAATCCTATAGAATTATTCGTAACGACAATCTGTAAAACTATTCGAAAACATATTTGTGATGTTTGGTCAAAATTAATAGGAAAAAAAAAAGATCAGCAAGGACCATTTGATAACTCAATACCAAGACTATCCAAGAGATCTTCTGAAAAACATCAACAAACATCAATGGAGACAACTCTACGAACAAACAATTCTATACAACGAAAAAATTCCAAGACCTACGGAAATGTCAAAGAAATAAATAACAATGAACGTTGTGAAAAGAGAAAAAACTCGCTTTTCTCGCTTCGTAAATCGTCGTCTTCCTCACTTCGTAAATCGTCGTTTTCGAAAAAGTAAACTTCTTTTTTTTCCTATATTCAAAACTGTTATATTTTTATATCATATTATAAGAATAAAATAAACACTATTATCATATTTGAAATATATTTCTATATATCAAAATTTTAAATAAACTCAACAGTAATATAATAACATAAAAATTCTATAATAATTTTTCATCAATATTTATGCTATTATGATCAGATGATATCAAACGAAGGAGAACTAAATTCTTTCCTACAATAGAAGATTTTCTTTAACCTTCGAATGCTTTTTATAGGTCGGACTGAACACACTTATGACTTATCTATCTTCTCTACTTGTTAGCCTTCTAACAATGTAGAAAGGCTATGTTGACTTTCGTGACTAAATATTATATGAAAAAAAAAAGTCCAAGGACAGCTTTACATGAAAACAATGCAATCATGATATTGATTCTTTTCGTTGTAGAACACAAAAAAACAAATAAACAAAAAAGAAATCATTTTATATTTTAATAGGATTGGATTAATATATGAAAATATGTGAGAATATTTAGTCGCTTGTGTTGTAATCAAATCTCTAATTCTAGTTTCATCAATAATATTTTAAATTCGTACTGTGATCATAATCTCTTAGAAGAATATCTTTTTTAAACTGCGAATGTTTTCATACATTAGGAGTCATAAGGACGTTTCTGTACGTCAAAAAATTATAATAAACAGCTATGATTCATCGATGTTTAATGTA